TACATCTTCATATGACCCAGATTGATTAAAATATTTGGTTCTAAAAACTGTAGAAAATGCTCCTTTACCTATTTCTTTGATATTTTTAAATTTATCATATACCATCCAATGAAAAAATTCTTTTTTTTCATAATTAGTAATAATTTGTTCAGTAATAGCAGATTTTAAATACTATTCGAAGCAATATACATATCCTTTTTAACAACATCTCCTTTTTGATAAAATTCACCAACTTCATACATTCCATTAGGATATCACATCTCTGCTGATTTTTTATAGTATTCGAATGCTTTATATGAATCTTTTTCAACTCCAATTCCTTTTTCATAACAATACCCAACACTAAATACTCCAATAATAAATCCTATTTCTGCTGATTTTTTATAATATTCGAATGTTTTTTTTCATTTTGTTCAACTCCAATTCCATACTTATAACAATATCCAACCGAATTTAATCTATCAGCATTACTCATGTTTGCAGCTTTTTGAAGATATTCAAATGTTTTTGTTCATCCTTTACAACTCCAAATCCAATTCGATAACAGTGTTTATTCTACGAACATAACCCATATTAGGCTGCGCAAATAAATAAAATTGGTTCTCGTAACTCGGCCAGATGAATTTTTTTAAAAAAGTCAAATGTTATTTTACATAGTATATAGAGGCTTTATTAAAAATTATCCATTAGATATATCTACCCGGATCTGGTTTTTTTTTATTTATTACAGTATATTTATTTTTTTTATTTATTATTTTTTTTTATTTATTATATTTTTTTTCGCTGCAATTTTTTTTTTGTTTTTTTTTCTTTGTAGATCTCTATTTTATACACCCGGGTCTAGATCTGGCTCTGTTATACACTCCTAACGATCATAAGTACAGAAATAGACAAGTAGTTTGTTTTTTTGTCCACTTTTTTTTTTTTATTCCTTGTTATAACTGATGCTAAAACAATTTCAATCTTTTTGTAGTTTTCACTAGTTCTTGTAGTTCTTGTAGTTCTTGTAGTGGTGATTGACTAGACGGTGTTCTTGCTGATTTGATGGCCAGGTTAGGCACTGATCTTGGAACTGTCATTGTTATTAGTTCTTGGAATCGTCGTTCGTGGACTTCGTCGTCGTAGTTGGTTTCAGGATCTTTGTCGATTCAAGTGTTTTTGGGAGTAATAGCCATTTCTGGTATTCATTGTTTTGATGTTTAGATTATAGTTCTATACAATTTTTCGTTCATTCTTTAGGTTTTGTCGTTTTGGCATTTTTGTGAATATAGATTTTGCTGCTCGTAAAGTTCTCTGCTGGAGTCTTTGTTAGTATAGTCTGGTCATTGTTTTCACTTTGGGGGCCTGGTGCTTGGAGTAGTCTTGATAAGCCTTGGTCTGGTTCTTCATTGGTATAGAGTGATTGTTCTTTCGTTGATTTCGTGTTTTTAGAGTTTTTTTTTCGTTAAGCATTTTTGAATTCAATGGTTTTGATACGTTTCTTGTATGTTTTTTGTCTATGGGTCTTGGCTTGCTCAGTTAGGACTGATTTCATCCTTGGCAAGTTTCTTCAAGAGCATTGTTTTTTTCCTGCCAACTTGGGATATATATCCATTCATTTCTTCTTGTCTTGTTTTTCTAGAACTTGTTGTGAAGCATCTGTCATTTGTATTAGGCATTGGGGCTAATAATAAAGTAAAAAAATTAAAAAAAATAAATAAATAAAGGGAGTGCCTATTTACACCATGGTAGTTTGCTATTTCCACCATTGTTACACAAAAATTATATATATTTATATAGTAAATTATTGGTTTTTTAAAAATTAAAAAACTTTTTAATAAATAAACCTTTCTTCCAACTTTAAGTAAGATTGTAGAGGAGACTTTTCTGGTTCTAATGGTGGTT